AACTGTATTGGAGAACAATATGGCTACAGCAGCATGAAAATTGACCTATTCTGCTGGATCTGGAGAACAAAAGCGAACTATGGCAGACGTGGTTAAAGGCAATAGAATGGTGCAACAGGGGTTACAACTGAAATTCTATCCACCAGAAGTGAGAGATGGAGTTAAAGTTGTAAAGCTGAATCAGAAAGAAATAGAAATGCAGTGTAAAAAATGGGAATTAGCTCTTATAGGCTATGTTATGGGAGGTAACCCTATATTCAATGAGATGTTGAAATTTGTCTATGGAGTGTAGAATTCAGTAACTACTCCTACGGTACTTATGCATGAGGATGGTTACTTCATATTTAGGTTTGAATCAATTGAGGAAAAAATGTTGATTATGGCAAAAGGGCTTTATACTTTCAATAATAGACCACTGGTGTTGAAGAACTGGGAGTCGGATTTTGAAATTGACAAGGAGCCTATACGTGTGATGCCACTATGGGTCACTTTTCCAGGACTACCTATCCAATGTTGGGAGAGGAAAACCTGGGAAGAATTGCTAGCTGCTTGGGGAAACCTGTATATACTGATAGATTAACAGCACAGTGTGAGAGAATATCTTATGCTCGTGTGTTAATTGAGATGGATATAACACAACCATTACCAGATGAGCTGACCTTAGAACAACCAGATGGTAAAATTAGGATGCAAACAGTGGAATATGAATGGAAACCAGTGTTCTGTCAAGAATGCAACAGATGCAAACGGGAATCACAGCAAGGGATACAAAGGAAAAAGGAAAAAAGCATAAATGGGTGAGGAAAACCAAAGCAGATGATAATGAGGATAACATAATACCAATTGCTGAGGAGACAAAAAATGGAGAAGAGAATACACAAGAAAAAACACGGGAGCTCCAAATGCAAATTGAAGAAAGAGGCAAACATGTTAAGATATATCATGGCAAATTTAAAACAAAAGGACAACCAGCTATTGAACTTGAGGAGCTAACAAGAAGGAACAAGTATGCAATATTGAGAATTGAGGAGGAACCACCTGACAGGATTGAAAGCAATAAGCACATACAAGGGATTACAAAAGGGCCTACTCCAACTACAATTCCACCAATATGAAATTCAGTACATGGAATATTAGAGGACTCAATAAGTCCTTTAAACAGAGAGAGTTCAAAGAATTTCTGAATAAGAATAAAGTAGATTTGGTAGGATGTTTGGAGACTAGAGTGAAACAAAGAAGAGCAAAAAAGGTTCAGATGAAGTTTGGAAGAGAATGGAAAGTGAAAGATAACTATTCAGAAGCACCTAATGGCAGAATATGGGTGTGTTGGAAAGAGGCAGAAGTGAAGCTAGACTTGCCACATTTATCATCACAACTGATTCATTGCCATATACAAGATAATAATTCTGATTTTTAGAGTTACTTAACTATTGTGTATGGACTACATACTATTGTTGATAAGAAAGCTTTATGGGATCAACTAAGGAGTATAAATGCATTGACTATAGGTCCTTGGTTAATTCTAGGTGACTTCAATAGTATACTGACAGTAGAGGATAGAATAAATGGGGCGCCTGTTCATCAAAATGAAGTAATTGATTTCAATCAGTGCATTGAGGATATTGGAGTAGGACTGGTCAATAAAAAGGGATACAATACTCATGGAGCAATAAGTGAGGGGCTGATGACAGGATTTATAGTCATATAGACTGGGTGTTTGAAAATACAGATTGGTTTGGAATGTATGCAGAAATTGAAGCAGCATATCTAGTCCCAAAATGTTCTGATCATACACCTATATTGTTGAATTCAGAGGTGCACATAATGAAGATGAGGAAAACTTATAGATTACTAAATGTACTGTTACAACAAGAAGAATTCAAGGGAGCAGTCGAGCTTATATGGAACCAAAACATACAAGGATACACCATGTATCAAATATGCAGAAAGCTGAAGTGATTGGAGATTCATACTAAGGGGATTCCGAGACAATACTCATCACCGGAGGTGAAACTCAAACAATTGAAGGAGGAATTAGGTGGTATATAACAGGATATAAATGATGATCATTTCAATCCAACTCTCATTGATCAAGAGAAGAAAATGTTGATGCTAATTGAAAAATGGGATGCAGTCTATGAAAAAATTTTAAGACAGAAGTCAAGGGCTATATGGATCAAACATGGAAACTCAAACACCAAATACTTCCATGCACAATTGAAGGCTAAGCAAGCAAGGAAAAAATCAGTTTTATTTGTACAGAACAGAATGTAAGGGTGACTAATCCAAAGCAGCTCCAACAGGAGTTCATACAGTTCTTCAAAAAGTTATTAGGTGAAGTTGCCCCAGTAATGACTGGAACTGATGTTACTATAGCTAGAGATGGACCTATTTATCACTAGCACAACAACAAAAAATGATGGTGCCTATAATAAGAGAGGAGATTATAAAGGTGGTTCAAGAATTACCAAGAGACAAAGCTCCAGGAGTAGATGGATATCCAGCAGAGTTCTTTAAAGAAAACTGGCAAGTAATTGGTGAAGATGTCCTAAAGGCAGTACTGGAATTGGAATTTTTTGATACAGGGAAGCTGCTTAAAGAAATAAATTGTACTACTGTCACACTCATTCCTAAGGTAGTAAATCTTAACTTTGTAAAGGAGTTCAGACCTATTGCATGTTGCTCGACCATGTACAAGATCATTGCTAAGCTGCTTACTAACCGACTAAAGTTGGTAGTAGATTATTTGGTGGGACCTTCATAGTCAACTTTCATACTGGCCCATGAACTGATCAAAGGATACAACCAGAAAACAGTCTCTCCAAGATGTATAGTAAAAGTGAATATAAAAAAGGTATATGACTCTGTTGACTGGAACTTCTTAAGGACCCTAATGCTGGAATTGGGTATCCCATACAAAATGGTCACCCTTATTATGGAATGTATAAGTACAGTCTCTTATTTACTTCTGATTAATGGAGGTTTGACACCAAAGTTTCAGGCAAAGAAGGGGATAAGACAAGGTGATCCAATGTCACCTTATCTATTTGTTTTGGTGATGGAATACTTGAACAGGGCTCTGAAGCAACTGGATTCAAATTCAGATTTCAATTATCATCCCAAGTGTGCAAAACTGAGAGTGATTCATATTTGTTTTGCTGATGATTTATTAATGTGTTGTAGAGCGGACAAGGTATCTATTGAATTGATGATGAAACAATTTGAGAAATTCTCGACTGTCTCTGGTTTACAAGCAAATATGGAGAAGAGCTCACTCTATGTGGCAGAAATATCTACACAATATAGAGAAGAAATTCTGCAGAAGTTGAAGCTGACCATTGGAGAAATATCATTCAAATACCTAGGGGTCCAATTGTCCTCAAAGAAGCTCAACACTAACCAGTGCATGCCACTGGTGGACAGAATAGCAGGAAGAATTAGATGCTGGACAGCCAGGTTTTTGTCATATGCAGGAAGAGTTCAGTTGATCAAAAGTGTGTTGTTTGAAATGCAAACCTATTGGGCACAAGTGTTTCTGATTCCAAAAAAAAGTACATGAAATGGTTATTGCTATATGTAGGAATTTTCTATGGAAAGGAAGCATTGAAGGGAAGAAGGCACCAATAGCATGGGAAACTGTCTGTAAACCAAAAGCAGCAGGAGGCTTGAATGTCATAAACTTCTCAGTATAGAACAAGGCAGCAATAGGCAAAATACTATGGGCAATTGCACAAAAGAAGGACAAGCTATGGGTTCTTTGGATTCATCATCACTATATGAAGAAGAAGGATTTGGAAAATATGAAAACTCCTAAACAAGCTAGCTGGGTGATAAGGAAAAATTTCGAAGCAAGGAGATGGCTAACTACTGGAGTGAAGGAGCTAGAGTTATATGCAGTAAAGGGGAAGTATCTAATCAGTAAAGCGTATACTTCAATTATGTCACAATATCCAAAGGTCAACTGGAAAACATTGCTCTTGACACAAAGAATATTACCTAAACATCAGTTTATTTTGTGGATGTCATTGCATCAGAGACTAGCAACGGTGGACATGCTAAGCAAATGGGGGATAACAGTGCCTAAGGAATATGTTTTGTGTATGACTAATACAGAGGAAACTCATGAACATTTGTTCTTTGAATGAATGCCCATATTCAAGGTTTATATAGGAGCAGCTGCTAAAACTCTTTGGAATAAGTCGACAAGTAGGAAGATGGCAAGAGGAAACTGCATGGCTGACAACAAGAACAAAGAGTAGAAATAAACTTTGGAAGATCATGGAAAGTACATTTGCATCAATAATATATCAAACATGGATGGAAAGAAACCTGCGAAGATTTCAACAGTTAAGAAGAGAAAGTAGGGATATAGTTAGAGAAATTGTATTACATTTACACATTAAAGGTGAGAGCTACTGTAAATGGAGAGGAGTCTTAGAAAAGATAAATAGGTATCCATGTTAACATAGATAGTAAGTTCCGGATGTGGAACTTAAGTGTCAAAATAGGCTATTTTTGTAGGACCCGACTCTAGAGTCAAATGAGCGGATGGATGTACATATTTCACTTGGTTAAATAAAAGTTTTATCTCATATTCCAAGAAAGGACAACTCTGAAGCATAGAATTTGAAAGCTAATTTGAGAGTGAGAGATTGTGAAAGAAGAAAATAATACAATATATATATTTTGTATCTATGTGTATATATCTTTACACAAATTGCTGGTCATATTCATTGTTTATTTTTTGTAGTCATATACATAGATTATACATTAATTATATACGATTATACATAAATAATACATGAATTATATATATATATATATATTATACCTCCATTGGCTATTTTAAGTTTAAGTGATTGAGTGATCGGCTATTTGAGCTAATTCTTCTATTATATATATGTGTGCATGTTATCAACTTATAATGTGCATGCTGAGAGAGATTTAGATAGAAAGAGAGAGGGATGTGCCTGAGTTGTGAGCTTGAGAACAAAGATTGTTAAAGCTTTCATTTGATGTGAAAAAACAATTTTAAAGTTAAAAGTAGCTAAAGGGAGGGTGTAACCCTTGCTATTTGCTTTTTGGACTTCTTCTACATCTTTTTGTCTCTTATCATAAAACCTCATTAACCAATCCCTTAACTTCTCATCCTTCTCCATTTTCTACCTTCAGAAGTCCTAACCCTTCTCTCTCTCGCTCGCTCGCTCTCTGCTTTCTTGGATCTTCTCTCAGGTATATTTTCTTTCTTTCTTGGTTTGATGGTGTTATTTTGACCACTTACGTTAACCCAGAGACGAACTCAGGATTTAAAGTCGGTGGTATATATATAGGTCGTGGCTGGTCATCCTTGATTTTTTTCCTCCTTTTCTGGGTGAAAGATTAGCCAAGTGATCAACTTTCGAGTTATATATCAAGTTGAGGAGAAGTTGAAAAGGAAATGGTTTCATTGCCACCTGGTTTCAGGTTTCATCCCACAGACGAAGAACTTGTTGCTTACTATTTGAAAAGAAAGATTAATGGTCGCAAAATAGAACTTGAGATCATTCCTGAAGTTGATCTTTACAAATGTGAGCCTTGGGATTTACCAGGTATATATTACATCTTTCATTTCCCACTTCTTTTTGTCGAAGAATTAACTCAAACAGCAGTCCACGTCCAATCGCTTAAAAGTAAAAATAGCCGGCAAACGTATGATATAATATATGCAAATTCTTATATAATATATGTATAACAAGTATAATCAGTGTATAATATATGTATGCCTACTAGGAAAATAAAGAAGAATTAACCCAAATGGCCGTTCACCCAATCACTTAAATTAAAAGTAGCCGGTGGAGATATAATATACACATAATTTATGTATTATATGTGTGTAATTATGTATAATCAATGTATAATTTATGTATATGGCTAGAAAAGTAAACAATGAATATGACTGGCTATTTTTGTAAAGATACAGTGAATTCAATTGGCTATTTGTGTAAAGATCCCTTTTATTTTTATCCTCTTTTTTAGTTTTTTTAATAGAAATAAAAATATGTCGACTCACATTGTCATGGTCATGTAATTCAAGTTGCACAAAAGATTATAAAGGAAACCGTGTGGAAGCATGTGGTATACTTATTAGGTTTCTAAATTATCACTATAACTAATCTTTAGGAAACCATTTTCTTTTTTTAAAGATGAACTGTCGTTGAAGTTGAAAGCTAAGATAAAAAATAACAATAATTACCATAAAGATTAATTTGAAAGTGATTGTAACGTAAATGTATAACAAAGACATTACGATACAATTTGACATTAATGAAGAAGCTATTCATGGTCCTTTATTGTGAGATCCACGTGTTTATTTAAGGCATTGCAATTCGTTCATTTATGTTTAATATAACTTGAGAAAAGGAAATGATGAATATGAAGGAGAATTGGAGGTAATTTTCTTATAAAGCTACTCTAGAAGATTCTTGATTAATACGTGAAAATGAAAAGCACTCGTAAAATAAATCTGTATTAGTGCAATTCCTTAGAGTTACATTCCATACGCGTACTGACTAAAATATTCGAATTATTGATACTTGGAACACACTTTTGCAGTCAAAAGACATATGCTTTGGTACAAAAATATCTTATATATGATCTCATGTTAATTCCCAGCTATAAAGGAAGATGGCCCCTACATCTTTTTTGATCTCCTATTTGAAGCTTAAAGATGTGTACTTACTGATTTAGTGACATGTCGAACCCAAAAGACAAGGGAAAAAAGAAAACAACATGATTGCTTTGTCTTCTAGAGATACCATTTGTTCTATATACCTCTTTTTATCTTTTTACACCTCTTAATTCTCCATCATGAGATGGAAGCTTTATAGTAACCCCTTTTTTTTTAGCACAATGGTAAGTTCATATAATGATTACAATGGCTCCGATCTCCTTGCCCCATCTCTTTTCATTTAGATTCATGACATGGATTCTATACTCCTCAATTCCATTTTAAATTTTATTATTATTTTAATATTATTAAAAAATTATAGTATAACAATAAAATAACAACAACAACAACAACAACAAATTAAACCCAGTTTAATTCCACTGGTTTTGGAAGGGTAGTGAGTACACGGCATTGTCCTTACCTTATGCAGGTAATAGAAAGGCTATTTCCGATAGACATAATTATGTTCAAAGCAAGCATGCATAACAGTATAAAAAAAAGAAATGCAGTACTATAAAAGTCTGGAAGTAATATCAACAGCAAAATAATAGAAAAACCAGAAGACAAGCAATATCAAATGGTAATAGACGTCTAAGAATACGGAAATACTAGAATAACACTAATGAAACGAAAAACGCTCAACCTAGCTGCGCCTCTGGGAGTACGTAACTAATCTTTGCATAACTCCCATGAAGATCTCACTTTACTTTTTTTCTTTTTTCCCTAAAATATTTTAAAACTCTTATATTACAGGGAAGTCTTTATTGCCTAGTAAAGATCTTGAATGGTATTTCTTCAGTCCCTGTAACCGTAAATATCCGAACGGATCGAGGACTAATCGGGCAACGAAAGCCGGATACTGGAAAGCCACCGGAAAAGATCGGAAAGTGAATTCTCAGATGAGAGCTGTAGGTATGAAGAAGACATTAGTGTATTACAGAGGAAGAGCACCTCATGGAGGTAGAACTGATTGGATTATGCATGAATATCGTTTGAATGAAAGAGAATGTGAAGTTGCAAATGGTTTGCAGGTACGTTAATATATATATATATATATATAGACACACACACCAGCCTTAAAAGCTATAATTAAGAGTTTAACTTCTATATATATACACCACAGTATATAAGAATTTTTACACTATTTAGCTATACATAACTGTTCAAAATAATAAAGAGTTTAAGTTTTATGAACCGATAATGTGAAAGATACTTACATAATTAAGTCACTTACTAGGTAGTTACTAGTAAATCTATGTGATAAATTATAAATAAGTAACCTGGTGAAAATGGTAAAAAACTTATTGTTATAGGTGAAATTACACTAATAATATTAAAAATATGGACACTGTAGCATATATGACTTAATCAATAATTAAGACTAGTATCTTGGAATCATAGCGTGACAAAGAGTTCGGTCCAATTTGGACGTCCATTTAGGAGGTGCAAAACAGACCCCATTATTGATTTGAGATCTTGATCGAATTAAGTTATTATACTTTACAATAATAGGTAATACTTCATGGCTGGTAACCGTAAAAGTGTAATAGTAAGTTATAATATGTGGCAGATTAAACTGCACTGATAATATTGAAAGGATTACGCTAAAAAATTTATAAAACTTTTATTATTTATTAATTGTCAGTTTCTTTTGTCTAAAGGTTGGATCATGCATCTTAATTGCAGGATGCTTATGCACTTTGCCGTATATTCAAGAAGAGTTTGAATGCACCAAAAGTGGTTGATCCTTATGCTAGTGATCGATCCTCGAGTATTGATCTTTATTCTGATGGAAGATGTGATGATAATATGGAGAGCTCTGATTATAGAAGACCAACCCAAGAATCTCCATTGCATTTAGCTGCAGCTGGTCCAAGTGATGATGACAAATGGGTTCAATATTTATCATCAGATGAAGCTTTTAGTTTCAACGTCAGTACTCCTCCATCAATTCCAAATTATGGAACATTGCCATATGCACCACCCAAGGTAATAAAATATCAATAGACAAACTATTAAGCTTCTAGTGAAACAGAGCTAATAGTTACGGGTTCGTCAGATCCCAGTAACTTCAGCTTAATTAGACCTTATATTTGTGTTAATAAGATAAAACAAAAGAGACTTTGAGTGGCTTTTGGTTTCTTCTTCACTCTTTTTTACTTATCCTTTATGACTTAACTTATACACATTGATAAATAACTTTACATTAACGTTTTACACTATCAATATCCAATTATAGTAGATGGTCAACCTTATTTTCAAGTTAATAATTCTACTTGTTATAGCAGATTATTTACATGATGTAGTCTTTTGAATTTAAGTTATATTGCTAGTGTAAAAAAATAATTAAAAAAAAACACACCGTCAATGTTTTAAGCTCTTACAGCAAGTAACTTACCTTTTTCTCCACATTATTACCAATGAATACTCATTACAAAAAAGTAATTTACTTTGTAATTATTTTTAAGTAACCTAACTGTGTAAATTATTTTATATCTATATCGTTCGTACATAAAACCTAAGCTTGTTGGAATAGATGGCCCAAACAACTCAGGCCCAATGGACACATGCCCAGCTGACTAATACACTGATAGCCTTGTACATAGTCTTGTAATATTATTGCATAGATAGCCTATTTTATTAGATAGCCATTGCTTATTCTTTGTAGTATAAATAGGTCATGATAGGCTACCTTGTACATTGGAATAGACTATCATATTCATTTTTCAATACACAAAAAATTTCCAATCTCTGGTTCTTTCTCGTTTACATCGTTTAGGGTTTTCTACAGAATGAGACCCAATTTCTCTTCAATTACTTTCAGATTAACATGGTATCAGAGCGAATCCTGGTAGTTTTCGCCATTATCTGACTCTTCACCGAAGAAATTTTGAAAAATTTCGTCTTCATCCTTGAACAGACGAAGTCATCGTTATTTTTGGTTTGTTCGATTGAGGTATTTGGCCAACGATCTTTCGTCAAAAGCTGATTTCAACTCTTCTTAGTTGAATTTATCTCCGTTCATCAGAAATTTGGACGAGAATCACGACAGGAAGTTCAGCTCAAAATTAGGGTTTTTTCGCTTGTGTGAATCGACATTTCTGGTGACAATTTTCTTTGCCCTTACTCTCTAGACCTTCTATATTGATCAGTTAGTCATTTTCTAGTAGATATTGTTGGTTTCCAAATGGCTATTAGTAGTGATGTTCCATCTCCGACTGAACCGTCTGGTAGTTCTACCTCATCAGTCCTTGATGTTTTTCATCCACTTTATCTCCATCCTTCTGATACACCGGGAACTATATTAGTTTCTGTACCATTTAGTGGTACAAGTTTTAGAGATTGGAAGGAAGGAATGTTAATTTCCTTATCTGCAAAGAATAAAATCCAACTCATAGATGGAACTCTTATTGAACCAGCTCCTAATTCTCCTCTCTATCCTCATTGGCAACGTTGCAATAACATGGTTAAGGCATGGATAATGAATTCTCTTTCCAAGGATATAGCTAAAACAATTCTATACTATAAGGCTGCTAGAGAAGCTTGGAATAACCTAATAGAACGTTATGGTATTCCCAATATTTCTCAGTATTATAGTCTTCAACAATCAATTTCTTCAACCTCTCAAGGGTCATCCGACATAGCTACATATTACACCAAGCTTAAAGGCTTATGGGATGAACTATCCACAATCTCTTTAGGTAGACCATGCACTTGTGCAGCTATGCATGAAATCACTGAAGCACAAAAACTCATCCAGTTCCTCTCAGGACTTAATAAAACCTATTCTACTGATAAAAGTAACATACTTATGATGAGTCCTGCACCTAATGTAGAAAAGGCTTATTCCATTCTAATTAGGGATGAGAAACAGAGAGAGGTTTATTCTGGTTCACAAGTTTTCTCACCCGAATCCACATCCTTCATAGCAAATTCCCATTCCAATACCCTTGCCAACCAATCCACCAACAATGTGAGGAATTTTAGTCAAAGGGTAAACTTTGAGCCCAGAAAGTCCAATTTGTCCTGCAAATATTGTAAGAAGCCTGGACATACTGTGGACAAATGCTACAAACTTCATGGTTTTCCACCAGAATTCAAATTCACCAAAGAGAAAAGGACTGTAGCTTGTGCTCAAGTTGAATCTACAAATCAACTTACATCTCCTCATGATACTTCTCAACATGAAGATGTGCCACATGGACTTTCTAAAGAGCAGTATGCTAATCTCATGTCCCTCTTTCAACAAATGCAGATGAGTTCTTCGACTCAACAGTCCTTTTCTCGAGATCCTCCAATATGTGCAAATTTTGCAGGTTGGCATGATAATCCAGTTAGTAGATTATATTGATATCTTGTATGTCATGCAACTCATGAAAATTTCAGTTCCTGTATATTGGATTCAGGGACAACAAACCATATGACACCTCACAAACACCTTCTTCATGGTATATAACCATTACTCTCTCTTTCTCTTGTCACTTTACCAAATGGTTACAAAGTAAAAGTACATTCATTTGGTTCTCTTTCCTTAACTTCCAACACTATATTAACTAATGTTTTGTTGGTTCCCTCTTTTCATTACAACTTAATTTCTATACATCAACTTCTAAGTCAACTCAAATGCTATGCTCTTCTTACTGAGATTTCCTATTGGTTACAGGGCCCTTCTATGAAGAGGCCATTAGAAATTGGTAAGGTTGAGCATGGATTATACATTCTGAGGCTGCCATTCAATGTTGATGCTAAAGTTGATGCTTCCTCAATAAATGTTCCCCAAAGTGTTACTACTCCACCATCTGTTTTGCCTTTTAATTTTTCTTCTTCTCAGAATGTATCTGTTTCTGGTATTTCCACTGTTCATTGTAATGCTACTGCTATAAATGAAAATGATATTCTTTGGAATCAAAGGATGGGACATATGCCTTTTGTGAAAATGATTTCTATTCCTCATTTGTCTAGTAAGTTTTCTTCTAAACAGTCTTTCACCTGTCCAATTTGTCCAATGGCAAGGCAACAGAGACTTTCTTTTCCCCATAGCTCCACACAATCCACAAAACCCTTTCAACTTGTACATATTGATCTCTGGGGACCTTATCATACAGCCACCTACAAAGGTTTCAAGTATTTCCTGACTATTATAGATGATCATAGCAGAGTCACCTGGACTCACCTCCTTTCATGTAAAGGTAATGCCTTTTCTATTATCAAAGCCTTCATAGCCATGGTTTCAACTTAATTCCACACTTCAGTCCAAACTATAAGGACTGATTATGTATTTAAACTGGGGTCTGATCATTCTCATACTGATTATCTCATATCTCTTGGAATTGCTCACCAAACTTCTTGTTCTCATACTCCACAACAGAATGGGATAGTAGAAAGAAAACACAAGCACCTATTAGAAACTGCTAGAGCTCTTCTCTTTCAATCTAAGTTGCCCACCAAATATTGGGGGAAATGTGTTCTTACTGCAACATATCTGATAAATAGGTTCCCATCCACAGTTCTATCTAACAAAACTCCCTATGAAACTTTACTTGGTCATCCTCCTACTTATACACACCTCAGATCCTTTGGTTGTCTAGCCTATGCTACCGTTCCTTCACCTTCGAGATACAAGTTCAAGTCCAGAGTCATTCCCTCTGTATTTTTGGGTTATGCTTTTGGCAAGAAAGCCTACAAATTATTACACCTGGGCAACAAATTTGTCTTTTATTCTAGGGATGTCACTTTTGCTGAACACATCTTTCCTTCCACTTCTTCTCTTTCTGGCTTCTTTCCTTCATCACCAATTCTTTTTTCCGATCTCACTTCTCTCATTCCTGTCCAATCCCCTTCCAATTCTATTCCTCCTGTTTTCTCTCCTCCTAATTCCCCTTTCAATTTTGCAATTTCACCATTAGCCCCTTCTTCTGATTCATCTTCTCCTTCTCTTTCTCCTACTTTGCCTATCAATCCTGCTTCTTCACCACCAGCTTCTTCTTCTCCTTCATCTCCTCCCTTAAGGAAGTTTTCTAGACCTACTGTCCTTCCTACCCACCTTAAAGATTGCATTTGATATGTTGTTCCTCCTGTTCACTCTTCTGTCTTTCCCTCCTCTCCATCTTCCTCTTCATCCTTGCCTGAACCTATTTTTTATTAGCAATCTTTCCTAATCCTGCTTAGCAGGAGGCCATGAGGAAAGAATTTCAGGCCTTAGAGGAAAATCAGACTTGGGACATAGTCCCTTTGCCTCCTGCTAAAAAGGCAATTCCCTACAAATGGGTATATAAAATCAAGCAACGTTCAGATGGTAGTATTGAAAGGTATAAATCTAGATTGGTGATTATAGGGGATACTCAATAGGCTGGTATTGACTATTTTGAGACATTTTCTCCAGTAGTCAAGTTCACCACTATTAAATATTTTCTTGTCTTGGCTGCCAAACATTCTTGGGACATTTACCAACTTGATGTCAATAATACTTTTTTGCATTGAGATCTTTCTGAAGAGGTGTACATGAAGATTCCTCTTGGTCTTACAGTATCTCCCTCATCCTCTGATCTTCCACTTGTGTACAAGTTGAAAAAATCTTTATATGGCCTTAAACATACCTCTAGGCAATGGTTTGCCAAGCTATCTCATGCTCTTATATCCAGGGTCTATTCCTTAAGTCTCAATAACTATTCTTTGCTCACCAAGTCTTCTGCCACCTCCACTGTTCTTATTGCTGTCTATGTGGATGACATACGAGGGAATGATACATCTGAAATGCTTTCTCTCAAAGCATTTCTGGATAAACAATTCAAGATCAAGGACTTGGAAATTGTTCATTACTTCTTGGGATTTGAGGTATCATGGTATTCTTGTCAACCAACACAAATACCTGAAGGAGCTGCTTTCAGAATTTCATTGTTCTTCTGCCTCATCTGTGGTGACACCTTTGGACATGTCTATCAAGATTACCTCCACTTCTTGTGATGCTTTAGTTGATCCTTCTTCATACAGAAGACTGATTGGGAAACTCAATTTTTTGCAACACACTAGACCTGACATCTCCTTCTCAGTTCAGCATCTCAGTCAGTTCCTTAATGCTCCCAGAACTGCTCACATGCATGCTGCTCTTCATGTTCTTAGATACTTGGTCAAAGACCCTGATAAAGGCATTCTATTCAATAGATGTCAGAATTTCTCCATTCAAGCTTTTTTAGATTCTGATTGGGCAGGTTGTCCTTCCTCAAGGAAGTGTGTTAGTGATTATTTTGTGACTCTTGGAGGCAGCCCTATTTGCGGGAAGTCTAAGAAACAACCAACAGTCTCCTTGTTATCTGCAGAGGCTGAGTATAGGGCTCTAAGAAAGACTGTTGCTGAACTTACTTGGCTTGTGAGACTCTTGGCTGACTTGGGTCTCAACATTTCTGCTCCTATTCCTCTCCACTGTGATAACAAGTCTGCTATCAGCATTGCCAAGAACCATGTTTCTCATGAAAGGACCAAACACATTCTTGATTGTCATTTTGTTCGGGAAAAGCTTGCTTGTGGACTGATTTCCTTGCAATATGTTCCTACTCAATCACAACTTGCTGACATCTTTACTAAGCCACGCACTGGGTTCAGCATCAGCATCTTCTCAGCAAGCTGGGTGTTTTGTCACCCTCCAGCTTGAGGGGGGGGTGTTGGAATAGATGGCCCAAACAACTCAAACCCACCAGACACAGGCCCAGCTGACTAATACACTAATAGCCTTGTACATAATCTTGTAATATTATTGCATAGATAACCTATTTTATTAGATAACCATTGCTTATTCTTTGTAGTATAAATAGGTAATGATCGGTTACTTTGTACATTGGAATAGGCTATCATATTCATTTTTCAACACACAGAAAATTTTCAAGCTCTGATTCTTTCTCGTTTACATCGTTTAGGGTTTTCTACAAAATGAGACCCAATTTCTTTTCAATTACTTTCAGATTAACAGCTTTTATCTTTTAGGTTATCTAATAGTACAAAAATTTGTTTACATTCTTTTAAATTATGGCTAGTCACTTATAGTTATTCATTATGTGACCTGCTAGTCTAATTTATTTTCTATATTTTTAGCGTATAGATCTTAAAGTCATTATTTATTATGTTTTCAGGTAAATATAGCATTAGAGTGTGCAAAGTTGCAGCATAGGTTGGCATTACCTCCATTGGAGGTTCAAGATTTCCCACAAGCTGGCTATGTTAATTATTCCAGGATGTCTCAATCAAGTAATAATATCCATCAAAATACAAATCAAACAGATATTATCCAAGAAATCTTTTCAGTTGCTCAAGCTTCACAAGATCATATAAATCAAGATTCATTTGGTGGAAATTATGCTAACCAAATTCATGACTTGGGTTCTTTCAATTTTATGGAACAATTTAATGAAGACCATAATGGTAGATCAATCGAGATAGGTGGTTTAGATGAAGATTTTAAATCTGATAGAATTGTAGAAAATTTGAGATGGATAGGAATGTCGGACATGGATCTTGAGAAGGTACTAATTTTTTACTAATTTGTTTTACAATTTATAGAATGCAATATATAAGCATTAATTTGACTTCCTTTGTACTTGAACAGTCATATCTTGAGGACTACAAGACGGTGCCAATAGAAAATGTTTCAGCTGTCCTGAAAGAAGAATACGAGCTTGAAGGTATTACATATTTTCTTAACTTTTTCTTGAATTATCTCCTGTTTATTAAGTATATGGATTTATATTATTCACATTGACTACGTAAAGTTCTTTTTCTAAATTTAACTTCTTGTTGTAGGTTATTTGTTTTATTTTTCGGATTACTAATTTCACGATGAATAGTAACATATAGTTATCTTTAGATAGTCTATATATTAAAAATGTAAAAATTACACGGGTTAAGTTATACTAGTAGAGTAAAGGAAATTGCATTGTTAGTGTTGGGTGTGCGAGGAGGTGTGGCCCTATTAAGAATAAGATGCGGGAAGCGCGACTTAGGTGGTTTAGTCATGTGAGGAGGAAGAGTACAGACGCCCCGGTGAGGAGGTGTGAGAGGTTGACATTGGAGGGCCTACGGAGAGGTAGAGACATGCCAAAGAAGAGGTATGGAGAGGTGATTAGGCAAGACATGAGGCAGCTTCATCTAACCGAGGACATGATCCTTAATAGGAATTGTCGCACCTCCTTTTCGCCGCGCCCGCGGGGCGCGCGGGGAGTTTTCTCCAATTGAAGGACAGTCGAAACGGGATTTGTTTATTTGTTTTAGAGTCGCCACCTGGGAATTTTAAGGCGTCCCAAGTCACCAATTATAATCCCTGAATCGAGGAGAATATGACTCTGTTTATTATTCTGCGAACCAGAAATCCTGAGTAAGNTAAAAAAAATTGCGGAATTGTGTCACGCGTACGTGTACACAATAACTTTTGATAATATATTTATTGAGCAATCATTTTTCGAAATTGTGTCGAATCAAGAATACTTTTTTTTTCTTTTTTTTTTGAATAGTGAACCGTACATCTCGGTTTTTTATGAAATTGATTTAACGCCTTTGGAAAAATCCTTTTATTAAATATTCGTTCGAAATTGCGCGTACGCATAATCCGAATTTAGCTTTTAAATATAATCAGGGTACGCGAACGTATCCCTAATTGCGCAAAATACTGTAATGATATTATGGAATTTCCACAAAATGTTTATTATATTATGAGAAATCTTCCTTTAAGATATCCTTTAATTCTTGAAAAAGAATTCACAATTTATTGAATGTTGCTCATTGATTATAATTTCCGCATATAACATGATCATTCAAGACTATTCAAATTTTAGGAGCAAAATAACGAAGTGTGAAAAAAAAATACCACTTTCTCATAAATATGACATATATATATGTATATACCCCAAGAATGAATTACATGAGCAACTACACAAAAAAATGTTTTATAAATGGAAGGGATATTTTTAAAGAATTTTTCATTGTTTATTTAATGAAAATTCTATTTCTACTCACCCTTAATATAAAATGTTGCGATTCATGCTTATACCTCTCATCTCATTCTCTTACACTTGTTTTAATTTAATAGGCGAAATTAGATTAATTTATTTACGACGGTAAATAGGTATCAAATTGATAAGAAAGGGAATTATAAATCGATTAACAATATTGCCTTTCATACAACATAGTTGTATGTCTGAAACATTTCTGGCATTTTAACATCATAATGAGATACATCAACTCATCATCCATTAATGATCCTATATATACCTATTGTCATGCCATATATGAACGTACAACTCACATCATTCAATCCATAACTAAATTAGATATTAGAATAAACTAGCAACATGGTTTTTACTCTTTATTCAACTAACAATATTTAACCTTAATCCATAACCAAACAATCGAAATACATTAACCATGCATTTTTAGAATACTCTATACCTGACTAACAACGTCATATGATTTAACTAATAGCCAACTTTATGCCATGTTCCCTATTTTAACAATTCAATCTTAACTATAATGAAATTCTAGAATAAGTAATATTATTACAACACTTATATGAATTTCAAAAGAGAATAATCAGCTGACAATTAACATGTCAAGCATACTTCTATATGAAACAACATGAAACAAAAAAAAACTGAAATTTATAATAACAAACTTAGATAAATGGAAAAATAGAAATGCAATTCAAGCTTCATTGATTTATCATGCTGAATCTCTTTCCAACATAGAATTTAAGAGGATATGTACCTGGAAATGGAGGTAGGAGGAGTAAATGTCAGCAGTAGCAGCAGTAACAAATTCAACAGAATAGCAGTATTTCCACAGATTTGAGCGATAATACGACCCGAGGAAGTCAGATGCACAATACAGGTTTTTTTAAAAGACACTTCAGTTTTTAACTGAACAGTGGAATCACATAAAGTTGAGCAGATTCAACAAAAGAACAACATTTCAGATTTCAGTTTCTTTTCAGTTTCAAATTCCTATTTTTTTCTGATTTTCTGTTTCTGCTGCTGTATCTATGTGTGAGTGTGTATGTGATTGCTCTATTTTCTGTTTCCTTTTTTCTATCTTTCTCAGATTTCTGTTTTTCTCTCTCAATCTGCCTTTCCAGATTTTTTTTTCTTTCTAAAATTCTCTTAAAGTCTCTCTTAAAAATTCTCTCTCTGTCTGTCAAACTCCTCCCTGAAAACTGATCCTAAAATCTGTTTGCTTTCCCAATTGCACACTCTCTTTTCCTCTTAAAACTCTTAAAGACTGCCCTCTTAGAATTCCTTCAAAACTCTCCTCAAAAATTCTCTCTCTGTCTTAAAAACTGATAAAGACTGCCCCCTTAAGGTCTGTCCAGCTCCTGTATTTATACAGGGCTGGTTCTATACCAAT